TTTAGATGTGTGGATAGGAGGAGAATTTATTGTCCAGAGAAGAAAACCCTACGGATACACATTGATGCAGGAGCTCCCATTACACTGCCCTCTTTCATTCAGAAAATCAAAGGCTTGTAATAGCAATTTATGGAAAGGGAAATCACCTGATGGTTGGACTTTTCTCAAGCAAAATTATAGTATCATAGAATCGTAGAAGTGTGGGACTTGAAGGGACCTGAAGAGCACATCTAGTCCAACCTGCTCTACTGAGGCAGGATCAAGTATACCCACTAGCATACCTGAGAGCCGGGAGGGCACAACAGAAACAGCCATTGCAGCTGCCAGCTGGTTGTGCCAGAGCCATCAACCGCTCCGGGCACACGGGTACTCTGCCCCAATAGATGTTTGTCTAACCGAAGGACAGTCCACCACCTCCCTGGTCAATTCTTTCCAGTGTTTCCCTGACCTAACGGTCAGACAGATTTTCCTAATATATTATCTAAATCTTCTTTGCCCCACATTAAGCTGAGTTCTTCTTGTCCTTCACCCAGTTGCCATTGGAGAACAGTTGATGACAGTCACCTTTATAACAACCTTTTATGTATCAGAAAACTGTTGTCATGTCCCATCTTATTCTTCTCATTGCTAGAGAAAACAAACCCAACTCCTCGGGTCGCAGGTCATGTTTTCTAAACCCTTTACAGATTTTTGTTGCTGTCCTCTGGGTTCTCTCTAATTGTCTACATCTTTCTGAAGTGTTGTGACCAAACCGGGACACAGTATTCCAGCTGTAGCCTTGCCAGTGCCAAGTGGAGTGGAGTAATGGGCTCCTATATTTTACGCAGCGCACTCCTGTTAGCACATCTGAGAATGAGATTTGCGTTTTTTGCCAATGCATTGCATCACTGACTCTTACTCAGTTTATGATCCACTATAACCTGCAAATGCTTTTCTGTATCATCACTGCCTGCTTAGTTGCTCCTCATTTTGTACTTGTGCATCTGATTTCTCTTTGTTAGGTGCTTGTCTCTATTGAATTTTGTCAGACCATCTCTCCGATTTGCCAAGACCATTTCAAATTCTTGTCTTGTCCTCCAGCGCGCTTGAACTCCCACACCCTAGCTAGGTGTCATCCGCGGATTTTTTTTAAACGTACTTGCTATTCCATTTCCACATCATTAATGAAAACATTTAATAGACCTGGGCCCAGACAGTCCTGCAGGACCTCACTTGAGATGCCCTCTCAGTTTGAGAGGGAACCACTGGTAATTACTCCCGAGGAAGGTTTTGCAGTCAATGGTGTACCCACCTGCTGATTTCATCTAGATTGTACTTCTTTAGCTTACTTATGAAAATGTCACATGGGGCAGTGCTGAAAGCCTTACCACCATCAAGATATAACATAATTATTGCTTCCTTATTGCTCCATTAACGCATTAGGCCAGTTACCCTGACACGTTAGGAAATTAGATTGGTTTGACCTGATCTGTTCTTGACAAGCCCACGTTGGCTGTTTTTTTTTATCACTCTGTTATTTTCTAGATGCTTACACATTCAGTCGTTGGCTCCAGAATCTTTTTGGAGACTGGAGTTAGGCTGACTGGTCTATAATTCCCCCTTTTCTCAAAGGCAGGTACTAGGTTTGCCCTTTCTCCAGTCTGGAATGCATCTCACCTACTCTCCATGAGTTCTGCAGGAGAATTGTTCAGTGATTATTTTGGCCAGATCCATAAGGGGCAATTTCATCGGACCCTGCCCACTTGAACATGCCAACTTGAACGTATCTATCTTACGTAAATATTTTTAACCTGTTCTTTCCCTCTCATGGCCTGCACGCCTATTTCTTTGTTAAAATTAATTCCAGTAAATATCTGGTCACAGTTAATTTTGCTTGTGAAGACTGAAGCAAAAAAAGGTATTGAGTACTGCAGTGTTCTCTGCACCATCTGTTGTTTGCTCTCCTTTCTCACTTAGTAGAAGACCCAGACTCTCTTTTCTTCTCCTCTTGCTTCTTATCTATTAATAGAATTTTCCCTTCTTGCCTTTTAAACCTCTCGCTAATTGAAACTGTCTTTGCACCATATCTTTTCTAGTCTACCTGCATTTGGTAATCCCTTATAGTGTATTTTGTTGCCTACAACACACACATTTGTCCCCCCAAAAACCAACTGCTGGAAACTGGTGCCCATTATATGCAAGTAATACAGGAAGAATAGTTTCTGCTGGTTGGGGTAAAGTGAAAATAAAATCTGCATGGGATTTGCATTGAGCAGAACAGCGAGTAGGCTCTGTTCCCTAGCTAGCTACTTACTACGAGGAAAAATCCCTTTTTTCTTCATTTTGTCTTCAAAAACAAGGCGTGTGTTATTTTTGATGGCATGTTGCACGTAAGAAAATATGTTTTTGTTCTTCATCTTGTAACTTTCTTTCCACTTTTTATATCATTCCTTTTTGAGGTTCGAGTCCTTTAAGCTCCTGATACTGTCATGATAATTTCTTAATATCTTTCCTTCATATTGGGATAGTTTGCTGCGGTATGTTTAATATAGTTTCTTTCAGTAAATGCCAGCTCTCCTGCACGACTTTTGTTCCTCATATTCTCTTCCCAGAAGACCCTCCTACCAGTTCCATGTGTTTGCTGGAGTCTGCTTTTCTGAAGTCCATTATATTTATTCTGCTGCTCTCACAACTTTCATTTCTTAGACCCCTGAATGATCTTTTCACAATCTGTTTCACCCATATTACCTTCCATCTCTGGATTCTCGATCAATTCTTCGTAGTCAGAATTAATCTAAAACAGGCACTTCACTTGTAGCTTCCTGTACCTTCTGCAGCAAAAGGTTGCCTTTAACACACTGCCAGAACCGTCTGTGTCCTGCCGTAATGCTTCTCCACCAGATACCTGGGGAGTTAAAAGTCCCTCATTACCACCAGCTCCTGTCCTTTGGATGCTTCTGATAGTTGCTCAAAAAAGCCTTATCCATTTTCTCCTCCTAATTGTGATCAATATTAGATCACTATGACATCACCTCCACTTTTTTCTTTTATCTTCACCTAAGGACATTCAATGAATCTTCCGCTCACCTTTTCCCAAACTTCACAGCAAGTACAGACAGTCTTGTTATCCAAGGCAACACCTTCCTTTTTGCCTTCCTCAACAAGCTGTACTCTTCTGTACCAATACTCCAGTTGTGCTCTGTGCCCTAACAAATCTCTGCCATACCAGCTCTGGTTGCATACTAAGACTTCCAATCTTTCTCATTTATCTCCTGCACTCCTACCATGTCAAATATTTGGTTTTCCTGTGAGTCTCACTCCTTAGGGCTTTAGAGCAGTTTCCCATTTCCCCTTAAGCCTTCAGCACCCTTATTTGATTTTTGCTTACCTGCTGTCTTATACCACCAGCCCCCCTTCAAGCTCAGTGTAAAGCCCTTTTCACAAAGTTTGCGAGTTGGTATCCAAAGACGCTGTTCCTCTGCTGCAGTAGTTGGGCCCCATCCCTTCCTGCCACGACACCTTCGTGGAGCAGAACAGAACAGAACAGACTAGAAAGCAAGTCCTCTTATCTTTGCATCGTGCATTTCTTCACTGCACTCCCTCCATCCGATCAGCCGTGCTACACTAAAGATGTGAACAGCTACCTCCTAGTTACAAGGGAAAGTCCCTCGTGCAAAAGCAGCACATTGCAGCGGGGCAGCACATCTCCATTAATACCGGTGTAATTACAGTAATGTGAATCCCTTGTAATGTAAATAGAAATACACCATGTTTCAGAGCTTACAGGTAGCAACAGGATCCTTATCTCACTGGGATCCTTTGACCCTAGCTGACTTCCTGCCTTTTGGGCAGGGGCCTGGACCTGATGATCCTACAAAATCCCTTCCAGCCCTAATCCTTATGAAATCCATGAAACGATCCATGGCTTACCTGCCCTTCCCTTGTCCATAAATGTCTCTTTTCTTTTTTCCTCTCCTGACCACCTATTTTTCATAAACCAGGTCCCTTCCAGCCCTAATGTCTATGGCTAACCTACCCTTCCCTTGTCCATTAATGTCCCTTTATTCCCCCTCACCCTCCTGACTTCAAATTTGTTCATAAACCAGGCGCGAGGCTCCTGCTGGTCTCCTTCCCACCCTAAAGGGCTCCGCGGGTGCAGCAGGACGGGGCAGAGGGGCGGTAGAAAGCGGGGCTGGCAGGGACCGTGTGGTTTTGGGGGGTTTTTTTTGCACTTCTGTTTGGGGAAACAATTGCAAACTTCATGCCCCGCCCCCCGAGGTGCTGCGGCCGCACAGCACCCCGTGCGCGGAGCCGGG